ACCAAGTTGTTTCGCACGCATGACGCATCATGAACAACATCGATGCCGTATGGTCCTTGTCAGCAACGAAGCCGCCTTTGAGTAAGTGAAGGAAACATCATCCCAGCCCCTTGAATGTATGCAGTGTGTGGGTTCAGCCAAGGGTACAATGATCTCAGTACAATGAACGCATTAATGAGCCTCCGCAATCACCCACTACTACCTGCCCTCAAATGCTAACCACCTTCCGTTAACGCTGTATTACTGAAAGCTCCCAATCGCCGGCTAGGTATCGTTCGTTCCTTATGCATGCTTCATTTCATCTCAACTAAAATTTTAGCTATATGCTCAGGGTACCCGTAATGTCTTCTTGCCCAACGTGATCAATGTCTCGTATGCTGTCTGTGACAATCACTGGGTCATGGACGGAGGGAAGGTTTTTAACGTGGTTCATCTACCACCGTTTCGCATTCACGTTTCATTTGATCCCTTGCTGGTTTCCTTCTGGGCATGCCCCCTAGGCAAGGGCACATGCGCATGTCTAAACGGTCAGAGCGATCTAAATCCTGCCGAGGCCGCTAAGAGTTCCAGTGTCACCTTATCTGTTGCGACTTTTTTGGGGGCGTCCGAGACAAGAGCCGCCGCTCTCACTACATCTGACCCTGGAAATGCACGAAAAAGGCCATATTATAGCCAGCGAGCGGCTCGTCGTACAGCCTCGTCGTATACGACGATCTCTCAATGGACAAGTGTCAAGCTACGTCGCTCATTGTTGCAACTAAGTTGTACCCTGGCAATTCTACCATATCCTCCGGCCCTGACCATAAGGGCCATAAGGAGGCAACCAAAGGCCTAGCAGCATATAATAATAACCAGGGACGCAGTCAAAGCCTGCGGGGGCTCGCTTGGTCGATAGACAGGTCCATTCACAAATTATATATCTCGGTATATTCATAACTTAAGCCCATTCGTATCTACGGGCTGTGTCTTCCAACCGCAGCTGCAGCAGCTGAGCATGGAGTGTCGTAGCTGACACATAGATTCTGAACGCGGTGTCGAAAACCAACTGTTACAATCATATGTGACATTGCAGTCTCCATGTGCATGAGAAGTTATGGAGAGAGAGAGCAACGTATAGACGATCTGTAGGGGATTTGAGAAACGGAAGGATTTGTAAGCAACCTTGGTCGAGTGAGAAATGCGCCGTCAACGGTGTTGGAACTCAATGAATTTAGAGACAGGCATATGTAACGTCGCGCTGGCGATGCACACGTGAAGCTATGGAGGAATAGAGCCTCGCATGCACGACCACGGCGAATCTTTGGAACGTCACCCGCCATTTCTTGAATTTGATTTCGAACCGTGTTTTTCTCAGCCCTATGGGCGATTAATTGCGAGCGGAGCTCGCAATTAAAAAACAAGGCGCGAGATGCCTCCATTCCGGCACATTTGTGGAATTTCAATAACATTTTTTCAATGTTATATTAATTATTTTTGCCATTGCTGAAGCTCGTTCTTTTTTTTTTCCCTTCTCTGTCACCATCACACCCAGTGACAATGTGTGACTTGTGATGAGGTGCCCCTTGTGCGGCTCTCTCTCTCTCTCTCTCTCTCACGACTTCACGTCCTTGCATTTCGCCCCTCTCTCATGGCGACTGAGCACCCACCATCCGTCATCCTTGTCACTGGTGGCACTGGCCTCGTCGGTTATGCGATACAACATGTAATCGACACTGAGCCTCTAGGTTCGAAATTCGGAAGGCGTGAAGGTGAGAAGTGGGTGTTCATTGGGTCTAAGGATGCCGATCTGCGGTGCGTATCACGCTGCAGTTTTTTGAGCACTCCTGACGTACTTATCAACTTGTGGCCACTTCTGCAGGGATCCAGAGCAAGTAAAAAAGGTCTTTGACAAATATAAACCCACACATGTCATTCACCTTGCCGCGCTCGGTACGTTGTGCGTTGCTCTGGGCATGGCCCTCTGTATGACATTTACCGGTAGTCGGTGGTTTATACCGTAATATGCGATACAAGGTAGGGGAGGTTTATGCGTGTATCACCTAACGAGCTTTGATTTATCGAATTCCGTAGCTCTCCTTCCTGCGTGACAACTCGCTCATCAACGACAATGTACTCCATTGTGCACACAAGACCGGAGTATCCAAAGTGATTTCGTGTCTATCAACATGTATCTTTCCTGATGAGGTCACGTACCCACTCGATGAGTCCAAGATCCATCTCGGACCACCTCATGAAAGCAACTATGGATACGCGCACGCGAAGAGGATGGTCGATATTGCTAATCGGTGTGCCTAATGTTAGTACCCCCGATCGACGTTCTGAAGAAGATTGGCAGTGCGTATCGTGATGAGCACGGATCCAACTTTACCTCTGCCATCCCAACAAACGTATTTGGGCCTAATGACAACTTGTACGATATCTGTTCTTTTACTAGGATGTGGATGGTAACGGTTCACGCTCGCTCGTCAGTGACCTGGAAGAGTCGCATGTCATCCCTGCTTTGATCCACAAGTGCTTACAAGCTAAACGTGAGTTTCAGTTGTTGCAGTCTAGCTCAACCTGCCCTTCACACGCTCTGTTAGGAAATAACACTCCTTTCGTTGTGTTTGGCTCTGGTCGGCCTCTCCGGCAGTTCATCTATTCCTATGATCTTGCCAAGTTATTTATCTGGCAATTGCGTGAGTACGACGAAGTTGAACCTGTCATCCTTTCGGGTAAGAACACAAGTTTGATCGGTGCTACTGGTGGCCCTGAGCATAAATTATGCCTACAGTTGGGGAGGATGAAGAAGTCAGCATCAAGCAAGTGGCTGATGCCGTTGTTGCAGCTGTCGGTTTTAAGGGGGAGTACAGGGTACGTCTTGTCGTGACCTTGTGGATCATTCCCTGAGTGAGCATTGCTAGTTCGATACCTCCCGCGCGGATGGACAGTTCCGCAAACCCGCGTCCAACAAAAAGCTACTGTCGCTTCTTGGAGGCGAGTTCGGGTTCACGCCGTTCGAAGATGCATTGCGCGACACAGTGCAGTGGCTAACCGAGCATTATGACACTGATGCGAGGACCGGACGGAGAGCGTGAGGGCGAAGGGCACCACTGGACGTTTACAATAGAGAGAAACGCCGGATTGTGTTTATACCGAGCCTAGGATTATGGCACTGATCAGTAGAGTGTTGGGAATGATTGCAATGTGTGGTAACGGTACAGGAAATAAATGAGACGTGGGTCAGACCGCAATGGGACTTCCAATCTGGGGATCGCCTGTCTGTCAAATGTCAACTGTCCTCGCTCGTCTCGTTTCGCCTTTGAATTCCTCCTCCGCATCTTCGCCGCCACAGTGAACCAGCCCCTGTTTCCACCTCACTTGCGAATTCTAACCCATGGCTGCCCCCACAAAACCTTCCCCCTTTGCCCTTCGTAGCCTACCGTCGCCGCAGGAATGGCACAAACGCAAAGTTGCCCTCATCTCAGGTGTGTTCCTTTCATCCAGGTACGCTGGTAGACACTCATGTTTTCATAGGCATCACCGGCCAGGATGGCTCTTATTTGTTCGTGTCTGGCTTCAGCTCGTGTGACTTTCATCATTGCAGCATTCTTTATTTATCAGGACAGAGCTACTGCTCGACAAGGGGTATGAGGTGCATGGCATCATTCGCCGCTCGTCTAGTTTCAATACGTCGCGTATCAACCATCTCGTCTTCGATCACCACGAGCGTACGCTTCTCTCCTCCTAAGCCCCCTTTTCGCACGCTGATCATGCGACGGAACAGGCAAGAATAAGTTCCAGCTCCACCACGGAGACCTATCTGATAGCACCAACCTCGTATATGTCATCGCACAAGTCCAGCCCTCCGAAATCTACAACCTCGGTGCACAATCGCACGTAAAGGTCTCCTTCGAGATGGCGGAGTATACGGGCGATGTAGACGCCCTCGGTACTTTGCGCCTACTCGATGCCGTACGCACCTGTGGTCTCGAGCGCCACGTGCGGTTCTACCAGGCCTCGACTTCTGAGCTCTACGGCCTCGTACAATCCGTCCCGCAAGACGAGGAGACTCCGTTCTACCCACGCAGCCCCTACGGTGTCGCAAAGTTGTATGCGTTCTGGATAACCAAGAATTATCGTGAGGCCTACAACTTGTTCGCATGCAATGGCATTCTCTTCAACCATGAGAGCCCCCGTCGTGGGCGCACCTTTGTGACACGCAAGATTACCCGTGCCGTGGCGGACATAAGCCTTGGAAAACAAGCGTGCCTGTATCTTGGCAACCTCGATGCGCAACGTGACTGGGGCCATGGTAATTCTCTCCATCCACGGAATGTCTGGAATGCAGGTGACATCAATACTGACCAATTTTGTTTCCCTTGCCGCTAGCTCGTGACTACGTGGAGGGTATGTGGCGCATGCTCCAGCAGGAGACCCCGGAAGATTTCGTTCTCGCAACTGGTGAAATGCACTATGTGCGTGAGTTCGTCGAGAAGGCCTTCCGCGTCGTTGGTGTGGAAATAAAGTTAGCTGGTTTTTTCGGATATTCAACCATGCGGTTTTACTGAATGCTGTCGTCCCGTAGGTGGTCTGGGAAGGGCGTCGATGAGGTTGGGACAGACAGTCAAAGCGGCAAAGTTCTGGTCCGAGTCGACCCCAAGTACTTCCGTCCGGCCGAAGTAGAGTGAGTGTAAACACGTCCCCACTTCTTCGCAATGTACTCAATGCGACCGCACATAGACAACTCCTGGGAAGGCCAGCCAAAGCTGAGAAGTTACTCGGCTGGAAGCGTCAGGTCGATTTTGACTCGCTCGTCAAGGAGATGGTGGAGGCAGATCTCAAGGCGAGCAAAAGCCTGGTTGAGGATCACAACTGAATAGACGCTTACCGTCGCACATGAGAACAGAACACTGTTGGAATAGGTTGTTACGCAGTTTCAGTTTTGATGATAGATGATAGATTTGTACTTCCGAGCTGCATCGCGCAGGTAGATACTTTTTCGATGGAAAATATGTTATGCCGTCGTGGCGCAATGGCAGCGCATCACCTTCCTACACTTATTCCTAGTGAAGACAGGTGGGGGTTGCGGGTTCGACCCCCGTCGACGGTACATTGTCTTTGTCGTTGCATGGGTTTGTTCGAAGCGTTCTTTTCTTTTTCTTGTTGTATGTCCCGCTATCACACCCAGAACTCTGCGGTCAGATTAGTGAGAGGCCTGCGACAATGAACGTCCTCATATACGCTTCCTCTGCATCACAGGGGCTGTCCAATGCCCTACGGTCAGTCCTGTCGCCTTTCTATACCGTCCAATCCATCCTTCCTGCGTCCCTGGCCACGCAGCCTTGGGCTGCCTCTTGCGCACTTCTCGTTCTTTCCGCGCCCCTCTCACTGCCTAGACCAGCTCGTGAAGCCATCCAGGAGTATATCACTGCTGGAGGGCATATATTAGGCATTGGCCTGGGCATCACCACTCTGCCGCATCGTCCTCCACAGGATCGCTTCGATCTGTGGGATGCAAAGTCAGGCACTGCTATAGTCCCTCAATCCCCCCAGGCGGTCTCCATCCTTTCACCACCCTTATCTATCCTCCCACAGACGGGCGGCCCCCCTCTTTCCGGTCTTCGGCCAGCCAGTGTTTCATTTCAGTTGACCCCCGTCGCGTCTGATAATCAGCTCATTCGCGGGCGTTGGGAGGAGCCCGTCGGTGCCATCGCCGGCGTCGAGGTACCCGTTGGATCCGGTCGTGCAGCCTTCTGGGGCGTCTCGCCCTATATTGACGGCATCGGGGACACGGTCAACGTGCACGCTTTCCTCCGATACGCATTGACGTCCCTTGGGGTGTCCATACCACCAGAGAGGACCACCGATGAAACCCTCGATCCGCTACCCGCCGTCCCGAGACACCCCCTCCCCCAGTTGCTGTTACACTCACGTGGGAAGAGGCACATTACCGAGACAGTCCTGCGAAGGCTAGGCTTTTCCCCCACCGGGACTGAGTCGTCGTCCGGCGACGATTCAGAGCTGGAGGTGATCAAGGACAGTGCAGACACGTTTCATTTTTACAGGGCCGCGACTCTCGAGCGCGCCGTACGCATGGTTGCGGAAGCGAGAGCATCTACAGATGCATCGTTGCACGTGGCGATGACGACGGACGCGCCACGGATCGTTCTCGTTCTTCCTCCCGATGTCGTACCCACAAGAGAGCTGACGCCAAGATTCGACGCCGAGAAATATTTTGCCGTGCTCGCGGAGATCCGAGGGGACCAAGCGGGTGGCGCGGATAGCTGGGGAGTGGGCGAAGCTCTGTTCTATGGTGAGGCAGTAACGAGCACACAAACGATGCTGGAGAGGTACGCTCCGCCCCTCCGTCTTCCTCCCACGCCAATACCCCCCCCTCTCGTCCCCCGTCTTCCGTCGTCGCACAAACTGCCCCGAACCCAAACCCAAACCTAGAAACCATCGCTTCCTGACGTCCCTCCCCGCACCGATCGTTTCCCTCGCGACGTTTCAGCTCGCGGGACGCGGGCGCGGTGCCAACACGTGGCTCTCGCCACCGGGATGCCTACAGTTCTCCATTCTCATCCGCGCGCCGCTGCGCACGTCGGCGCTCCCCACCCCGCGCCTCGTCTTCGTGCAGTACCTCGTCGGGCTGGCCGTCATCCGCGCGTGCCACGATGAGCGCGCGCTGGGAGCCGAGCGCGGTGCGCACGTGCGGCTCAAGTGGCCCAACGACGTGTACGTGGACTTGCCCTCTTCCTCGGCCACGGGTACAGGTAGCGAGAAGAAAAAAGTCGGCGGTATTTTGGTTAACACCAGTTTCTCGGACGGGAACATGGATGTCATCATAGGTGCGTCGCGTTGCGTTGCACCCATGCCACCCTGCACCCCCGCGCGCATGGCATCGCCTCGGGGTATTTCCCGCCTCCACCGCCGCAAGCTAACAAAAGACTTTTCTGATTTTTACGGCTGGATAAGGATGCGGCATTAACCTGTGCACCCCCGCGCCTGTGACGGCGCTCTCCCTACTTTCCAGGCCAGGAGAACGGCTTGACGTCGAGACCATGCTAGTCCTCATTCTTACTGAATTCGAACGCCTGTGGAGCGCATTTGTCGCTGGACGAGGCAGTTGGGCACCTTTTGAGGAGGCTTACCTTGACGCTTGGATGCATTCGTGCGTGTTTCATCCGCCTTTGCTCGCGTCTGTGCGCCACACGACTCATGAGCTCATGATGATATACGTAGCGATCAACTCGTGACGCTGACAACGGTCGATCCACCCATCCCTGTCCGTATCGTCGGGATAACTCATGACCACGGATTACTGCGCACGATCCCCGAACGAACCGGATGGGGCAGGGGTGCGCGGCATGGTGCAGCCGATGAGTACATTGATCTACAACCCGATGGGAATAGCTTCGATATTATGACTGGACTCATCAAGGCGAAGAAATGACATCCAGCGATTTAGGGAAATAGTAGGTAGGTGAAAGATGGATGCAGTCGCCACAGAAATGAATTTTGTAGGGAACGAAATATACGATTATCTGTGCAACAGCGAGCACCTTCCCAGGGTGAAATTACGGAATAAGATCAAGGTTCATGTTACTCATGTTAGCACCCTTGACTTACTGTCTCCCTTGTGGGGGCGGGGGTGGGGATGCAACACCAGACTGCAAGCACGAACATATCGAGGAAATGAGGGGGAGGGGATAAGGGGCCAGGTAATGAAACAGATGTAGGCGTCAGATTGGATTCGTTACAACTCGACTTCCGACGTGACCGGCGGCCTCAACCCGAAGGAGGATTGCCAAGCCCTGTTCGTCGAACATACGATGCGAGACGTCCCTCCGGTTAGAGATACCAAACAGGCACCGCGGATCCTTCTCATCTCGGCATTATTACCGCTGTCCAATTGAAAGCATATCCGATGTCGGACTACGAGGTGTAGCAGAGTGGCTTCCTCCGTTATGTCACCACGGACGTACAGTATATCTCTCGCATTCTGCGCCACTCATCAAACGGTTACGTGGCCGCTTTACCCTGAAATTTAATATGAAGTGCCACCTTTACGTGGATTGGAAAGGGGTTACATGGATGAGGGCCCAGAGACGCAAGAGCAGGAACTATACCCAGACTGAGATTCAAAGGCGTACTTTCTGGGCGACGCCTTGCGGAACGGTGGCGCACATGAGGGGAGGCATACGGTTGTGAGCTGTGGAATGACGCTACTGTATGAGCTAACGCGAGGCGAAGAAGGACCACTGATGACCGGATGCAGAACGAGTCGGGAGATGTTTGTTGACGATGCGTTTGCTACAGGGGTCATACAAGGACATATGGTTCTTCCTGATCTAGAAATTGCCTCTGCACGAGTTGAGCAGTTGGAGAGAAGAGCTTAGACCGTTGGATGCGGGGGAGGCGTCACCGGAGGTACAGCGAACCTCTCATAACCCATACCCACTTTTTGGACAGCCCAGGGTGATGGGACAATGGCACCCTCCATATTTTTGAGACGCTCTTGAGACTATTTTCAACACTTGTCTGAGAGCCATAGCCTCTTATGACTGTCCACAGATGGGATATGAGTTGTGAGATGTTCAACCGTAGATGGGCGGAGGGAGGATTAACACATCGACCCACGGGTGCCTTTGGGAGGCAATTCAACGGCGGCCCCACGACACTGTCACTGAGAAGGGATCTCGTATGCCATAACATGTGGCTCGGACAAGTAGTCTGCTGCTCTACTTCCAGCACTTCATTTGTGTTTGGCTGTATGACTGGGAGGCGGCAGCAGATAAAAAGGGTTCCTTACGATGTAGTCATGTCACTCGGGGAAAGCGAGAGCTCATTGTAGTATTATCAGAAGTAGCTTGGTGGAGAGAAGGAAGGAGATGAGGGAGCTAGTGAGCAAGCTCGTTGTGGATTGGATTGGCTGAAGCGTCTTGTTGATCGCCAATCTCATCTCACGTTTGGTTCATCGACTCGACTCTATTAGCATCTCATCCGATTCTATCAACCCTTTTATATCATGGCAGCCCCTGCAGACTTTCTCAACTTTGTTGATGTTAACAAAGACAGGTTCATCCAGCGCCTTGCTCGTGCGGTCGAGATCCCTAGGTATCCACCAGTCACATAGCATAGGCGAGTCCCAATACTAATTCACATAAGCGTATCCGGAGATCCTGCTCACCGCGAAGATGTCCATCGTATGGCGTCTTTCCTGGAAACGCTGTTGAGACAATACAGTGTCGAGACCAAAGCCGTTGATCTTGGTACACACATAATGGAGGGTCAAAACTTGAAGCTTCCCCCAGTCATCTTGGGGAGGATCGGTAACGACAAGTCCAAACGAACGATCCTTATTTACGGACACTTTGATGTGCAACCAGTCTGTCGTCTGCTTCCTCAACTTCATATATGCACCCTATCTTTGTTTGTAGGCACAATTGTCTGATGGCTGGGACTTCCCACCATTCCAACTGACCAAGGATGACAAGACTGGCCGTCTCTACGGTCGCGGTTCATCCGATGACAAAGGTCCCATCTTGGGCTGGATCAATGTCCTCGACGCACACCATGCCCTCAACAAGCCCCTTCCCGTAAACCTTCGCTTCTGTTTCGAAGGCATGGAAGAGTCTGGCTCTGAGGGCCTTGACGAGTTTATCCTCGCCGAGGTGAAGAAAGGCAAGGAATCTTGGTTCGATGGTGTCGACGCTGTTTGCATTGTGTGCAGATCCTCTTTTCTTTCTCCCAGCTGCTTCTCACCACGTGCCTTCAGTCCGACAACTACTGGCTCAACACACGCACCCCTGCGTTGACCTACGGACTTCGTGGCATCTCGTACTACAAAGTTACCATCTCTGGTCCGGCCAGGGATCTCCATTCGGGTGTCTTTGGCCGCATGGTGCACGAACCCATGACCGATCTCATCGCCCTCATGAGCAAGCTCGTCGATCCACGAGGCAACATCCTCATCCCCGGAGTCGATGAGATGGTGGCCCCCCCGGACGAGGACGAAAGGCGCGTTTTCCTTTCCACGTATTCGCTCTCTCCGCTCCTGATCGACATGCTCTTCTACCTCCTGTCTCTTGCTGCAGGCAGCTCTACGAG